AAATAACAGCTCTTATGCTTTATCTCAGGATGAATAAGTACAGCCATCACAGTAAAGCAATATTATATCCCAACTGGAACTGCTGCTAAGATTATGCCTAGGGAAATATTGCAAGTTACTTGAGGTACTTTTCAAAGAATCCTTAGTTTGCAGAGTTCCAGCTTGTTCTGCATTGTCAATGACATTTGGAGCAAAAAATGTTATCATTCACCCTCATATCTTATTTTAATAGAAAAGAATTATGACTGAGTCTGTATGCCATTCTTTCCCATATGCTCCATACATTGCTTTCCACTGCATCAGTAAGATTTTACTTTTGCAGCCATCAAATTCAAAGATATTCACTACACATCTTTAAGAAGTACCTAGCTTAGTTTTGCTATATCATCTACTACACAAATCAATTCCAAGGCATTTCTTTCTTTATCTAATTAATAAGTGCATGTAATACTATCAAAAAATTTCTTACATCTATGAGCAAATTCAGACCAGGGGCCAATTTTCCTCCACACCTCTGCAATTCCACTGACACCATGAGAGATATATAAATTAGTGAGATATAGATACTTCTCCAGGTACCTAGAACCTTACCTTAAATTGTATCTATTTGCTATTTACTCAGTTTAAGCTGTATATTGGTCAGAGTGTAGCCCACAGAAAATTATTATTAATTTTAAAAAAATAGTCTTGATGTTGTCATCTCTGTGCCCAGAAATGCATGATAAAATCCCTCCTGATAAAATCGTACATTTTTTTACCTGAATGCTAAGTATATGGAGGAGTTATCAAAGGCTCAAGATAGAACTTATTTATTAATAATCCATATTGCTTAGGCACATGCAGGAAGCTACAGGTATTTAGTTAACTATAGCTTTGCGAATAAGCACTCGGAAGATGAAAGCTTAAGCGCAGGCTCCAAATGGTAGTGTTACTGGCCTAAGACTGGGTATTTGTCCAAAGCATCTTATCCGCCAAGGGCCAAAATCTTTGGGAAATCATGCCTACAGGCACACTTCACTCTCATCCAACAGCAGCACACAAATAAACAATGTGTCTCCAAGTCATAACCACGAAGCTAAACACCATGACTGGCTGCACGTTCCTCCCCCGACTCATGCCTTAATTGTGTGCTCAACAGCAAAACATTTAAATCAATAATTTTGCAGTGGTGAGCTCAAAGCAGACACCAGCGGGGGAGGAAACAGGGGCTGTGCAGTGCCAGAACTACCTTTTCTCTAGAAGTAGTCTTCTTCGTAGCTGTGTCTTGCCTTGAGTGTATCAACCTGTGCAGATCAGCACAGCTAAGGAGAGTGCCTACATACAGAGATAAGTGTGGGAGGGGTGACGGGAAGGACCGAGAGGCCAGCCCCTGCCTCACCAGCGCCCCTTGGCTGACTGGGGCGCAGCACGTGCCCTCGCTGCAGCCCTAAAGCGCTCGCCGAGCGTCGGAGCTAGCAGCTCTTCTGTCAAGGACGGTGTGAGTCAGGCTGCTGATGCAGGAACGTGTTGTGTTTTCAGCTATGGGAAGGGAATTGCTAGAGCAATTAAAATAATTTGTTATTTCATAATATGAGCCATACCGAGAGTGGCTGCTAGCTGCATTTCAGTCTCAGGTACTAACAAATAAACAAACAATCAATCAAAAAAGAAGTAGGATCTAATTTCACAGAGGATCGTTTGTCTTTCTTTTAACGCCCTTAAATGTCAGATACTGCAGTCCCTGGTGAAAATCCAGTGCGTGTTCCTGTTCCCGAGAAGCTCGCAGTCCCATCCCTGCTAGGTGGAGGCGGCAGGTGGATCAAGACAACATGGAGGGGTTGCTCTCCTGTACTGCCCACCTGGGGCTCTACCAGTCGCTGAAGGCTGCAGAGCCACAGGGTGCGCATCTACATGTACAGGAAGGATAAGAGGAGAGCTGAAGCATGCCTGCTCTTCCTTCTCATCGCAGCTTCTCAGCAGTGTGCTCGCAGCTCTCTGGGGTGACACGCCGGTACACACTGCTGATGCTCAGGGTAAGCCCGTCTCCAGTACTGCATGTACATTTTATGGTTCATCCGTGGATTTCACTAGTAAACAGGAGATTTATAGTAATGATGTCTCGGTTAAGGCCTGACTGGCCCAGGAAGGGGAGATTTCTTTTGTTTTGGGTCAATTTTTGAATTTTCTAGCTGTGTTTGTCTGCTATCTTTGCCTGGCACAGCCAAAGTCCAAATACGTTCCTCCTAATGATAAAAGAAGCACCTCTCAAGTCCAGAAATAATACCAAGATACTGATATGATCCATCACTGTTAATATTTCTCAAGACTCATGTTTACAGGGAACTTCCCAAGCAATTCATAGAGAAAGAACAATAATCTCTCTCTCCTTCTCTCACGCACACACAAATGTACAATTCCATGGAGTAATTTGGAAGGGCCACGTTAAATAAAGGATGAGCTGCTCATGGACACTTTGCAGGAGGAAGAAGTGAAATCCCTAGTGTAGAATGTTTCACTGTGAATTGTTTGTTCAGTCCTATTGTTTAGTATCTGTTTACAGAAGCAAAGTGATCTTCTCAAGGACCCTCCGATAATTCCCGAGTTAAATAAAGAGAAATATGATATTCTTTGGGATGGAGGAATATAGTCTAAAGGTACCTTCATCCTTGTTGGCTCTTTTTCACCTGCAATTCTGAGTAAACATACAGCATAGTTTTTGTTGCTGTTGCTTTAAAATAACTGATAATGGCTGATACAAATGCTGGTAAAGCATATATCAGTTGCTGAGGATTGTAATGGGTTGTCCACCACTGGAACTACTTAATTCACAATTGCATCTTTTTTTCCAAAAGACTCATTTCAATTCAAATAGGAATTAATTCAGGAGAGCCTTAAGACCTGTTTTACCATAGAAAATCTGAACAGATGATCACAACAGCCCTCTGCTATGATTATCTGTATTATCATAATGCTCATGAACCAGCTTCACGAGACAGGAGGACTGTGTTACTATGGACACAGTATCAGAAGCAAAAGGTGGTCTGTGTCTTAAAGAGTTTTCAATGTAAGACTGAGATAAAAAACAACAGAGGGATACAGGAACGAGAGCAAACTGAAGTACAGGACAACACAGGGACATAATTCAGAATCTGTAGATGGATTCAACACACGATTCCCTGAGAGTTCAAGAAAGTTTCAAATATCCTATGAATTCAATATATCTATATCAGCATTCTACTGTTTTTTTCTGGAAACAATGAATCAACCGAGCTAGGTCAAAACTAATAAATATAAAACTTCCTAATTAATATGGACAGGAAGGTAAATCCTATGAAAGTTTTTTTTTTTTTCTGTTTAGACTGGCTATATCAACTCTGCAACCTTTTCAGATATCAGCAGAAGGAAAGAAACTGCTATTTTCCTTCGAAACACTGCAGCCTGACACCAGAATTGTGTTAGAACTCACAGTCTAGGTAGGGTCGGGTCTGGGCAAGACTTGCAACAAATACTAGTGGCCTTCAGAAAACAGCATACATACATAAACATCATTGAGGGCATTACACTGCCTAGAGCAGGGAGAGGTCATACAAGAGATTATGCCAAATACCTGCCCCTTTGTTCTTAGTAAGGAACCCATGTCAGCCTCAGTCTCCTTCCAAGATTTCAGCCATGGTGGAGGATTGTTAATGACTAGCATACCTGTATTTCTTATGCTGTATTATGTTAAGTAAAATCATATTATATTCCACAAATACAATGTTCCTATGCATCTGCAGAATATAGTTCATATTTATTCTAAAGAAGGTGAAATTAAATTAGACGTTAACTTATGTTCTTGGATGTAAACTGCGTAGTTGGATTCCAATTTAACTACAAAAACATTGGAAATGGCTGAATTAAAAAATAGATAAATAAAAAGTTCCAATGAAACACATCCTCCAGTATTATTTTTTATTTATAAATCATTATGCAACTATGAATCTTTGGAACTAGTTTTAATTGATAAATATTGCATAAGATCTATATTAAATCTCTTTTGTAGAGATCCGCATTTAAAAATGGACTGTAACTCTATAATACAAACCTATCTATAATAAATATTTAAGCAGACGTATTACAAACATCTTCAGGAATTACATATCATTAATGACAATGGCAAGCTCATGAGAGGTAGTTGGGAATCTCTTTTCAATAAAATAAAAACATCTAGGAGGAGAAAGCTTGTGATGAATACACACGATGTAGACCCTTGTTGCAGCCTGAATTCCAACTGTTTTAGGAAAGAAGTTACAGCATTATTGTCTTTGGTTAGTTATTTTACAGACTGGAAGGAGTGGTGTTGCACCAGTTACTCGCCAACTGAGGCAAACCCAGGAATTACACAGGGGTTTCCAGAGGGCGAGTGTCCAGCTCCCCAGCTGTTAAAAGACAACTGGATGTGTTTGCTGCTGCAGCTCTGACTGCACGTGTAACTCGTGAGAACCTGGATTTGCTGAGCTCTGGGCACATTCTGAGGTTTACCTGTCTGACATTGCGGATGTGTTTAGGGAGAAGTTAACTTGGTAAAAGACACATTCGTAGCTTGTGTTCTAGGCTAGAAAATCATCTGGGGATCATTTCAAGCTCTCTGTTTCCTCTTGCAGATCTGACTGTGCTTCTAAAGGCTGCTGGAACCTTATGCCCTTTTGTAGCTCACAGAGTACAAACTCTCTTGATAACAAAAAAAGCAATTAACAAATTGCAAAAGAAATATGCCATCACAGGGAACATAATTCTACATGTACATTATAGAAGAAAAGGAACAGAAATCTCATCTTGACTGTGGTCATTTGAGTTAATGAGACCATTTCCATACATAACATTAATTACTTGCTTCATATAGTTTGCTGGACTGGTGCCTGCAAGTAAAGGAAAGATTTAAATTGGAAGAAGCTGAGGGAAGAAAGAATAATAGAAAAAGAAACACTGTGTATTCTTCCCTCAAACATATTTCTTGGTTTCCTCAATTTCTTCTTCCCTTTTTCTTTCTCTCCTTTTAGGCTTCCTACCCTCCATTTAGGTTTTCCTCCCTATAGTCATCAATCCAATCCATTATTTTTGTAACTCCTATCTTTAACGTGTGGAATTTTTTTCCTTCTTACACCCACCAGCTGCAACATGGAAAAAAAAAAGTTCTTTTGCCTAAAATGTGTTATTGCTATGAAAAGTGACTACGTAAAAGCGAGATCTTCTTACTAAACAGAACAGTCCCTTTTTGCCTTAAGGGCTGTTTGATTTGTTTGGATAGCAGCATACTACTTCTCTTGATACTAGCAATGGAGAACAGGTGCAGCTGAGGGAGCGAGCTCAGACCACTGGTTGGTCTTGCGACTCTTTAATGGAGCCGTCTATCAAATGTCACTTGCTGACGCTGGTGCAGACCCACTGAAGGCTGTTGAAGGCTCCATCACACGACACAGCACAGCCTGACCCCAAGCATCTGCTGGAGCAGGTACAGTTCCTGTGGGAAGGGGGGATGAGGGTGGACGGAGGGGAGGGAGCAGGCTGTGTAACCTTGCAGCCACATCGCATGACATGTAGCATGTGATCTCATGGGGCACTTCACGTCTTTCCTCTAAGGGGAAGGGGAGGTAGGCTGTGGACCTCGGCACCAGCGTTCAGCCCCTGCTCTGATTTAATCTTCATTTACTGCTTGTGATGACAGACAGGATGCACACATCTCAACTTCCCTCAGAGACTATGACAAAACTGAAAGGTCTGGCAGCCAGTCACACTATATTTTAACGGGTAAACCAAAGTTCTTTGTACAGAAATCATTAAAGTCATAAACATGAAACATGAAACACAGTACCATTTTTACAGTCACCTTTCGGAGGAAACAACAGTCTAAACTTAAAGCTCTTTCTAAGGGGACATTTTATGACTCCTGGACTTCAGTCTGTCTAGTTTATCCCAGAAAGGTAATAAGTGATCTGATCATGGTCTGTAAATACCTCTGAAAGCAAAGAGGTTTTAAACTAATGGAAAAAGGTAGAGCAAGATCCAACGTCTGGTAACTATGCTAAATACATTCAGAAGAAAAGGCATACATTCCTAACGGTCAGGAAAGCTAATTCAAATAACTTGCTTAAGGGTGTGCTAGGTTCTTTGTCAGGTGAAGTTTAGAAACTGAAGATGTATACCCTTCTAATAGAAGTTAGAGTCTTGATGGAGAAATCAGTTGATAAATTTTGTCTTTTATCTCACAAGATGATCAGAAATAGTCCTTTCTGTCATTAAAAGCGCTTGCCTAGCATTCAATTCCAGTGGCATAAAGGGAGGAGTATTTAATTTGGAGGTTATTCAATAAAATCTCTCTCTTTCACTCTCTCTCTCGCAGAACATGCATGTTTGGGGAGAAATGTGAGGTGGCCATGGTGTTTGTACAAAAGTTTCATGTTCACTAGGTGCAAATTCCTATTCTTCTGTTCTCAAGAACTGTTAGATGTTGTTCAGGATCCAGACTTTGATCAGAATATTCAAGTCAGAGCAAAAAGACTAACTAGACAAATGTTTTGAAAATACCTGATGTTGGGTAAAAATAACTCAAGTCAATAGTGAAGTATTCTGTCCTCCCACAAGAAAACTTGCTGACTTTTGAGGTCATTTGCAAATACCTCTGGTATGAAGCTCAGACTTTCATCAATGAGTTCTACAGTTCTTGTGGAAATATCATTTCTGAGACATTTCAAATTCTTAAGAGCACTCTGAAAAGTCCTGAAATTAAAATATTTTTCATAGTATACCATTAGAAATACGTACATTTTCTTAATGTCAGAGATGCAGATCAGTATATGACTTAATTTTTCTCCATGTTGCCATGACTGCTTGTACCTCCATAGCTAACAGTGACACTACCTGATATTTTTGGTTTGTGTAGAGGATCTTTTACACAGCAACTTTTCATGCTCTGTAAAGAGTCAAATACTGTATCTCACATGCAAGTTCCCTAGTGCTGGGTAAAAGGTTTACCTGAGAATTAATCATCTATAAAGGTAGCTAGGCTGTATCGTATAGGTTACAGCAACTGACTGATATTCCTAGATCATTATGAAAGATTAATTCAGAAAACAGATGTAATAAAATTTCAGTCAAGATAAAAAGAAGGTGCTTTAGCTGTGACCGGAAATTACCCCATATCATAGAGATCTGTGAATCGGTAACCAAGAACGTATGGCCTATAAACAAAATCTATCTTGTCTTCGTCTTCCCCATCAGCCTTTTTAGATTCTCTGCTCTTTGGGGATGGATAAAAATTGCAGTGACACTGCTGTGTGGCTTTGGGTGAGTGCCTGCAGTCCAGCCACATTGCAAGCTGTAATCCTCCACATGGTGAGGAGTTACATAGCAGCCATTTCACTGTTCTTCCTGCAGATGGATCTTGTGCCAAAGAGGGCAGAGATCCCCGCACACGAAAGGGCTTCCATGGGCTTTCTTCTGAGAAGCTCTCATCTAGCACACAGCTGATGCGCCTGGGCACAACAGTTCAGCCAGCCCAAGCCCATAGTGTATTTCATATTGGACTGCAAATCATGAAAGCCACAGTCAGCATTCCCACCAGCAGCTCAGCACTGTGCCTCAATTTCACTGTGCTGCAGGATGGAGTGCTGATTATTCCTATGGAATAATAGCTTTCAAATGAAGTAATGTGTTGACTCTCCTCCAAAATTTAGCTTGGAATTTAAAAGATTATGAATAGTGCCAAGAAAACTACTCCAGGGCAAAACATCCTGGAATACTCAAGTTTAGACAAGAGTCTTACTATAAACAAACAAAAGAGTGATATTGTTTAAATTGGTCTTTGAAAATGTCAGTGGGAGATCCTTTTTTTCATGAAATTCTCCAAACGTGAGAAGAACTTTTGCCTTCATATTGCAAAGTTAACCTCCAAATAATATCCAGGGAACATTTCATAAAACTCGTTGTGATACATATTTGCTATTGTACAAGTACTGAAACAACCAATGCAAGCTCTTTTCTGTGCGTACAGCTTAAAGCGCCCCTTGAGACCAAAGAGACTTGGCAATGAGGAACTCAGAATTTCATTCAAACTTTTTCTCTGTTGCCTTTAAACAAGGCATTCCACCAAAGCTGAGCTCCAACTTTTTAGGAACAAATATTTTAATAAAGAGGATGTGGTCAGTAGCACCCTCCTCACACCCTCAGTCTTCATAGGAGGGATATAGGGTATTATCAGTTCACACCAATAGCTCATGCAAAATCTCTGTGTACAAATCTGCCATGTAGAGGACCTGCTGGCAGTGGAGGTTCTTAAGCAGTCCATGCTAAAATGGCTGAAATGCAAACTGTGGTACTACCAGAAATTCAGCAACCTCTATATCTATTTCACAGCGCTGTTTTCTCTAAATACACACGTCAAATGATATCTTGACTGGTTTCCAGTTCAGTCTTCACATAGTCTCTTTTTGCACTCGTAAAATCATAAGTGAGAAGAAATGCAGAAGTACTTGTACAATCACAATAATTTGCAATCAGTACTCGGTTGCTTTGGAAATACAAATATTGAAGTGATACTTCTATGTCTAACTGACTCAGACTGCTTCCTTTGTGCGCAAATAACAGGCTTGTGAAACGATGCTACAGTCTACAAAACATCACCTCCTTGTCAAAGAAGGATTATCTAAGGGTGCCAAAGCTCAAGCTTCAGCTTGCTTTCTAATGAAGTAAAAGCAATTTGTAAATTCTAGGATGCTGAACTTGACAATCGTGATTCATAGTTCAGCTACAGTATTTGGTTACTTCTAAGATGAAGTGTGCTTTACCTATTTCTCCTTGTCCTGAGATTACTCAGACCTTTTTATAGTATAAATAACAGCTTCAATAAGAATTTTTTAGCCTCATCTCTTAAAAGAAGTAAAGGCAATATTCTCAAGCCTCGCTACATTAAAATTAAGATGAAAAAAATTAAATTATAAAATAAGTATCTCAATCCTGCAAACACTTACATATTTCATTGTATGCATGTAAGCTGTCCCACTGAAGTCAAGACTGCTCATGCACCAAGTGCATTTGCACGTTTCTGTAGGATAAGGAGGCACAAGCGATTTGACTTCCAAAGATGATTAGTGCATGTAACTCTCACTCCAAAATCTCTGTCTCTTAGCATCTCTGATTTCTGCTTTGGTAGGTGCTGATCTGAGAATTTGAAAATCTTGGCTAAAAACTTTAAGTTAAAGCTGAGATTTTGCATGAAAGTTACACTGCAACATACTGCTAAACTGTCCTGGAGAGGCAGCGTTCCACACTGAGGAAGCGAATGTGCCCTCTTCCTTCTCCCTTTCCTTGTTCAATATACATTAAAAATTAGTGATGGGGAATTATCTCCCAGCTCATCATAATGTCCCATTTGAGCACTATCTCCTGCTGTCGGTAAATTCAGTCAGAATTCAGTAATAACAACTGACTACTGACTTTTCCAAAGAAGAAAAGTAGGCATTTTCTAAATTATTGCCCCCACTTCAGTCAGAGGTACTGTATCATTGGAGATACAGTAACTTAATATAAGGAATTTAAGGCTATAAATCCACATTTACCATTGACATGATACAGTCAAAGGACTCTGACTTTGTCTCCTTGTTCAATGTAAGAGTAAAACCACTGGGAAAGGGAGTTATTTCTCCTTATAGACATCAATATTCATGTATTAAATAAATGTGACTATAACAACATCTATGTACGTGTGTGTGTGTGTGTGTGTGTGTGTGTGTGTGTGTGTGTGTGTGCATGTAAACTATGTAACCACCAGTGCAAGGATCTTTCAATTGAGGTCCACAGATGATATATAAAACTTGAGCACTTTGTTGGATGCAATGAAATGGCAGACTTCCAGCAAAGATGTGTGGAGTTTTGCTGTTTCTAAAAAACTATTACTAATAATAATTGCTGACTTTCTGAAAAGCCTCTTTCATCAGTGGGACAAAGCTATTCAAGCAAAGGGCGATTGCTGTACAGAAGCATGCAAAGCAGCTAGTGCCTGTTCCAATCCAGTGTGCTCCCATGGAAGAGATGAGGCGTGCCTCTGTCTGTGATACAGAAGAATATCAGAAGATGATCAAAACCCGTCAGATTTCCCAGGCATTCAGAGCATGTGGCTAAGTCCGATGACAGATTCTGTATCAGGAGAAAAATGTCATTATTGTGGCTCAGGAAAATACAAGAGGAAAAATAGGAAGCTACAGTCTGATTGCTGCAATGGAGCACTTGCATCACTGCATTCTTCTTTTGAAAGAATATTAACAAGATAATTGGTTTACTGTGCATTTTCTTTAACTATGAGATTTTCTAAGGAAAGAATCTTTCTGTTCATGTTTGCTCAAAAGCACGTAAGTAAAAACTTCTCATGTAGGGCAAGCAGGCCCTCCATGCTCTTTTTATGAAATCCCAGACTTGTCTGGCTTTCCCACATGCTCTATTTCAGGTGAATACTGGTTT